AATTCAGTTCAGTTTAATTTAAACAATTAAAAGCAGATTAGGCATCAAACTAAATTACAATCTCTTTAACAGTTATACGCTTAAGTGTCTTAATAGGATTCAGTTCACGGCACCAGGTAAACTCTGTGGGGACGATTCCTTGCTACAGTCTATGTAACTGATTGAGCGATAAAACACCATCACACCCTCGTGTTGTCTGTAATAGTGTTGTCCCGGTACTGAAGTTTTTAAAACGTCCAATTCCTGCTAACATGTAGGTGCCACCGTGCGTGTTCTTAAACAGCGCTGATTTGCCATAGTGTTCACTGGTGCCCACCAGAAATGACTGTGATTAAGCTATACAGCCAGGTACAAAATGTTCCTTTGTTGCTCCAGGCGATACTTCCGGGTATCACCGGTCCTCCAGGACCGAGTTTGGACATGCCTGCTCTAGGGGAACGAGACAGGGCTGCCCTCTGTCCCCTGTGCTCTTTGACATTGCCATCAAACCTCTTGCAACCATATTAATGAACTCCGATGGCTTGCAAGGAATTTTTAGGGGACAAGAACATAAGGTCCTGCTATATGCGGATGATCTTCTTCTTTTTCAGTTAAATCCAGATACATGTATTCCAAAAGCTCTTACAATAATTTCAGAATTAACTATTATGATAAATAGAGTTAAAATGTCCTTTTTTTAATTAAAAAGTTGAAAGTTTTATTGAGATGGATTGTTGGGGATTGTGAGGGTTTTTGGCCATATTGGGTAACAAAACATGAACAAAGGAAAATGAAGACTTGTTTAAAAAAAGATTTAAGACCTGCAACACAATATTTTAGTAAATTTAAGACTTTTTAAGGCCTAAATTTTTGATTTTGGAATTTAAGACATTTTAAGACCCTGCGGAAACCCTGTTTAAACACAATAGCCCTGGTAATTAGTTATAATAATGTAATTCTAACTCGGATAATATCTGTGAGAACTAGTAACAACTATAAAAACATAACATGGTTTAAACCCTTAAAGAAGTTGAGAAAAAAGGGAATTGTGATCAATGTGACATATGCAAATGGAAAGTACTAAGCCAACACCATCAAAGTAATAGCAGATATCTTCTATAAGAATACTGTAGGTCAAACATCATTAGCTCAGTTCAACCTTATTTTAATATATTGTTTTTGTTTATTTTAGCACTAGTGCTCAAGCATGCTTTACAAACATAAAGAGAACAAGAAAAATTATAACCTTAAGAAGGTAGTGAAAATGGGAGACTAATAATACATAAAATAATGACAAAAGACATGAGAACAAGTGACGAAAGAAACTCATTCCTGTCTTTCAATGAGTGCTTATGTGCATTTAGGAGAACTAGGCAGCATACTCAGGGCTGCAAGATGGATTTAATTTAGTATTCTTATTATTAAAATATATCTGAATGAGGATCAAATGACTGAGTTGGTGTTAGAGAATGAAATCTGACCTGTTTGTTCCTGCAGATCTTCTTGTTTGACTGTGAATGTTTCTTCAATCTTCACATCTTCACTCTCCTCTTTAATAAACGCCATCTTTATACCAGTGTGGAGATCAGTCGTTTCAGCAGGAGTTTTTCTGTTTAGACACTTTATCCTGTTTAAAATGAACAAAACAATAAAAATGTTTAGTTTAAAATAAATAAAACAATGAACAGAAACAAAATAACTTCTCTTCAACACTTGCTTCAACAGTTTCTTTATATGAGAGTAATTAACAAAAAGAAATCAGGTAAGTCCGAGCAAGAAACAATATCCACAAATGAGCTGATTAAAACTAGTACTCCATAACTTATATATAGTGATGTATCCTTAGAATGGAATTACATTATGCTATTTAATAAACCAAGCCTTCATTAAATAGAGGTAAGTTGGTTTTATATTAACACATTCGGACTTTCCCCTTAATAATATAATTTCTTTAAAGTATAATTTGCAAACTCTAAACAGTGAAATCATATTAGCAGCCAATGACTATCAAAGTACAACATTGTTCACAGTCAAATAAACAGTGTTAATGTTGTTTTCAAGTCACACTTGCATGCTAATTCCTATCGAATATTCAAAGTAACATGGTAAACAATATAGAGACTTCTAAATGAATGAATGTGGGAATATAAAACCAACTTTACCTCTATCTTCATTGAACACTTATTACACACATTTCTGTTGCTTTATTCAAACAATAGCCCTCATTACTGTAAAATAGTACTTCGTTGTATAAAGGGTAAAATAATATTGTCAACAGCAGGAACATAATTTAGCATCAGATGAAAATCCTGAAACTTTAATCAATCACTTTATATTTATGTAAATGTTTTAAAACAAACCTTTCTCCAGCTGAATGCAGCGCAGGAGCGGCGCAGCCTTATGACGTCACACGCCACGCCAAAATAAAAGTCTTATTGATACATTTTTACCTCGTCTTCTACTTTACACTTGCTCTCTCTCTCTCTCTCTCTCTCTCTCTCTCTCTCTCTCTCTCTCTCTCACACACACACACACACACACACACACACAGATGTTCAGTATTTGAAGTTGATCAAAACCTTTAATCTAAACATTTTTAAGACAAATTTTGAAAAACGTTTTTAGGGTCATTATCCGTATAAAGTGCCTTTAAGACATCAAAATAAAAAATAAAGTTTAGGATTTTTAATTTAACCACAAAGTTGTATTATTTAGACATTAGACTGTAAGAATGTTGGTGAAGCCCCTGCACTTTTTACAAATAATCTGTGTGTGTGTGTGTGTGTGTGTGTATAAGTGTTATAACAAAAACATTCACTAATTAACAATAAAATATTAAATAAATAAATAAATAAATAAAGTGTCAATAAAAATGCATTATGATTTGTAACAGGGTAGACAATGACAGAGAAGACATTTTTGGCTAAAGAGAGCATTTATTCAACACAGTTTGTTCCTGCCGCTGGTAAAGTGTTTACTAGTGATGGTGAAATTAAGCTTTCTGAACCAGTGAAGCGCTCGACTGAATTGTATCGGAAAGAGGTTCGTTACTCGAAGCTTTCCAAATCAGAGCTCAATGAGAACCTCTTCTGGTGAAAGTGTGGGAAAGCATTAGCTGCAATAATGTCAAATGTTCACAACTGACCAACTCATTCATGTAGTAATACAACAACAGTAATATAAACAAATTACTCAATTACTGTAGTTTTTATACATAAGGTATGTTACATTACACCACTGATGACCGTAGTAAAATCCAGGATTTTCAAAACTATTTACATTTATCATATTCCAACCAGTCCTTCACCCACCCACTCGTTCCAAGCAGGGATCGAACTAGTGTTTCCTGCATGGGAGACAAATGCTCTAGGAGGAGGCTTTGTAAGTGATGCTTTTGGACTGCACTCGCCAGCTGGCCTCCGTTAAACACTATACTCCGACATGCAGGGGTTTTCTTTAAAGATAGTTGTAAAAAATACACTAATACACTTTAGTATGGTTCAAAACCTTTTTACTATAAATTAGTATTGTATTTTAATTTAATTACTGGTGTGTGGGACAGGTGCAGTGCTGTGAAACAGTAGAAATGTATGTAATCGACGCCTAATCTCTCGCTATACACTTTACTAACCCATGAGGGTGTTTAAATCTTTGAATCAAAATGTGAAGCAGTCACGTGGGTATAGGCAAAAATGAAGCTTCGGACGTCACTGATCACGTGATGATGGCAGAACGAATCAAGCTCCTGTACACTGCTTCACTGCGAGATGTATCGTTTTTTTTTTAAACATGCTTTGAAGCCTCGGCGCACAAAGTCACATCACTAGTGTTTCCTTATTTAAGCTCTTTGTAAACAGTTTATAAGCTGTATTTTAATCTCTGAATCTGAATTTTTTTAAATAATAATTACTATTTCACTCTGACAGGGTGGACATGTTAAGCTTGACAACATCCAGTTTCAAACACAACATGAGGGAAAAAAGCAAACACAAGTGTAGATAGTTACTGTGAGCACAGCAGATGTTTTCACCTCCTCTGAAGAAAAGCAAATTGGGCATGAGGATGCCAATGAGTACATCAGAGGGGTCTTAAAGGGGCATTTACCACATCATGACAGGGTGGACAGCAATTTCAAGGACACGTGCAAAATGATTAATATAATATTATGAAAATAATATAAAAGTTATTAAATTGATTTGTTAAACAACCTGTTAAAGACAGTGAGAATATTTCCAAATATTTTTAATTTGATCTAATTTACCAACATTTTAGACTCACTGAAGTTGTCTGCAGTGTGTGGACATGGCAAAATCACATCCATTCAATGAAAGAATGACGTAAAAATTTACAAAAACATATTTCAAAACACTGATAATTCTACCTGCATGTGCGTAAAGGTTTAACCAATATCAAAACATCAGAGTTTCTTTATTGCACATTATGTCCATATAATACTGTTCAATCATGGGACATCAAAGGCACTTTTTAGTGATAATGACCAAGCTAGTAAAACTAAAACATGAAGTAGTAATGGGTACTTTTATACTTAAAGGGCACCTATTTTACCCATTTTCAGCATTTAATATAAGTTTGTGTCTCTAGAATGTGTCTGTGAAGTGTCAGCTCAAAACACCCATCAGTTTATTTGTTATACCTTTTTCTGCTTTACACACTTAGTCTTAGTGGATTAAACAAGTTTTTTTTTAATTGTCTTAAAAATGTTTAGAGTAAAGGTTTTGATTTCCAATTCCAAATACTGAAAAAAAAAAAAAAAAAAAAAAAAAATATATATATATATATATATATATATATATATATATATATATATATATATATATATATATATTTGTGTGTGTGTGTGTGTGTGTGTGTGTGTGAGGTGAGAGAGAGAGGGGGAGAGGGAGAGAAAGTGGAAAACGAGGGATAAATGTAGTCAAGAAGTCATGACTGCAACAGCAAGTGGCAAAAAAGCGAAACAAAAGAAAAGACTTTTATTTTGGCGTGGTGTGACGTCATAAGTCTGCGCCGCTCTTGCGCTGGATTCAGCTGGAGAAAGGTTTGTTTTAAAGCGTTTACACTTATACACGTATATAAAGCGATTGATTAAAGTTTCAGGCTTTTTTCATCCGATGCTAAATTATGCTGTTAATGCATAATGCTGCTGTTGACAACATTATTTTAACGCTTTATACTATGTAGTATTATTTTACTTAGTAATGAGGGCTATTGTTTGAATAAACTAAAGAAACAGAAACAGTGTGTAATAGGTGTTTTAATGAAGGTTTAATTGATTAAAAAGCATAATGTCATTCCATTCTAAATGTACATCACTATATATGAGAAACGTAGTAGTTTTTATTAGCTCATTCTTTCTAGCTCAGACTAAAGTTGGTTTTATATTCACACATTCGTTCATTTATAAGTCTCTATATTGTTTACCGTGTTACTTTGAATATTCGATTTGAATCAGCATGGCAAGAATGACTTCTAAACAACATTGTTTATTGGTTTGTAAACAATGCTGTACTTTGATAGTCATTGGCTGCTAATATGATTTCACTATTTAGAGTTAAAAAATAATACTTTTATGAAATTATATTATTAAGAGAAAAGGTCTGAATGTGCGAATATAAAACCAACTTTACCCCTATGATTAGACATACCTGATTTTTTTTTTTGTAACTGTTGAAGCAAGTGTTGAAGAGAAGTTATTTTGTTTCTGTTCATTGTTTTATTTATTTTAAACAGGACATTTTTATTGTTTTGTTCATTTTAAACAGGATAAAGTGTCAGAACACAGAGAAAAACTCCTGCTGAAGCGACTGATCTCCACACTGTTATAAAGATGGCGTTTATTAAAGAGGAGAGTGAAGATGTGAAGATTGAAGAAACATTCACAGTCAAACAGGAAGATCTGCAGGAACAAACAGGTTAGTTTTCATTCTCAAAAACCAACTCAGTCATATAGGGTAAAGTTGATTTTATATTCGCTCATGCGTTCATTTAGAAGTCTCTATTTTGTTTACCATGTTACGTTGAATATTCGATTCAACGAATCCGATATTCGGAATTAGCATGCAAGTGTGACTTCTAAATAACATTAACACTGTTTATTTGACTGTGAACAATGCTGTACTTTGATAGTAATTGGCTGCTTATATGATTTTGCTATTTTGAGTTTGCAGATAATACTTTTATTAAGTTATATTATTAAGGCAAAAAGTCTGAATGTGTCAATATAAAACCAACTTTACCTCTATCTCAGTCATTTGATCCTCATTCAGATATATTTTAATAATAAGAACACCAAATTAAATCCATCTTGCAGCCCTGAGTGTGCTGCCTAGTTCTCCTGAATGCACATAAGCACTCATTGAAAGACAGGAATGAGTTTCTTTTGTCACTTATTCTCATGTCTTTTGTCATTATTTTATGTATTATTAGTCTCCCATTTAGTACGCCTCAGAACGCTTATGGGCGCACAAATGAGCGCTAATGCATTTGCTATAAAAACGCCTCAAAACCACTCTTGCGCCAAGCTGATACTAGCAAAGGACTATTGCGCCGCACCTTGCGCTACATTGCGCTGGGTGTATGATAAGGCCCTGAGTCTTCTTTACTTTACTTTACTGTAAACATGACATCGTCTTCATTTTGTGTTATGTGGATGGCTAGTGGCCTAAACGAATCCGGTAGTCCTCGGAGAACCATCGCTATGGTTAGTCCATCACTCATTAATTCTCCACCATTCCTTAGAGCTGTAATGTTGTTTTCTGCTCGTATCAAATAGTCTGTAACGCTCTTACTGTCACTCGTGCAGCTGAGTCAATGCTGTGTACATGTTTATTATGCGTGGTTTACTTTTGCCTGAATAATGCTCTTTCGGTATTTTTAGGGCTTTTCTCCTGTCATCGGCTGCATCGTGTCTACCAGTCATAGGCTTTTATCATTGATCAGTTCAGCATAACAATCAGTGTTCTTCCGCCTGTCCTCGGCTAGTTGCTCTGCTTCAGCATCAGTAGGCTGATGTAATATAGTTTCTTTTAGCTTCAGAGTGTGTAAATATCCTAGAAATTTCGGCTCCCATAGATCAAATTTTTCTTCTGATCCATCGAACATAAACTGCGGTGCTAGATATCCTCCCGCTCTGCTTACCATCTTTGCTAACTTTGCACCTGAATACAACGTGTTAACTTCGCTTTCTTAAAAACGATCGCTTGTCTCGCTGCCTGGGCCCATAACCTGTTGAGCTTGGAGTGCGTAGCTTAGGCACTAGACAGAACGAATCATTTTATCAGCGTCTTTTATTACTCACTTTCACATGCTCTCTCTGTACAGCATGAACATGAGACGGTAACACTTCTGTTTATCAACAGTATAACGTGGAGACTAGAGCTGCAACAACGAATCGATTAAATCGATAAAAATCGATTACTAAAAGCGTTGGCAACGAATTTCATTATCGATTCGTTTGTTTCAATTATGCAGCATTTTAACTGCCTAATAATTCATTTATGTTTTAGATATGTAAATACACACAAGTACTAGTAAAACAAGACAATTAGTTTGTAAAACACACAAGAAAGTCTAACAATCCATTCAAATATAAATTGCCGATGTGTTTATTCATATCAGATACACATTACACATAGTGAAAGTAACTATAAAGTTGAATCTAGGCTTTTCTAAGTTCACCAAACATTTACTTGCATGTATTTTTGGAGTAACTTATGAATGTACCTGCTGAATCCTGCGTGTTCTGCTTTTATGAATGAGGCAGCGGCCGCAAGTAAACATGGAGACGTCCATCTCATGTTATAAATCACGATTACTTGCACGTTTATGTGAATTGGAATATCAGGTAGTTGATGGCATGATGAGCAAGTGTGTGAATGTTATCTTTTTTGGATCATTAATTTTTCCATCTGTTGTCATGTATAGCTGCACTGCAGAAAACTTTTCTTTCTTAATCATTTTGTCTCGTTTCCAGTTCATATATCTAAAAAAATATTACATCAAGACCAGACAAGAAAAATAGCATGAGAAAACGAAGTGATGCTGTTTGAGATTATATCTTATTAAGATAAATTTTCTCACCCCATTGGCAAATAATTAGCTTGTTTTAAGCAAACTATCATTAAAGTTTGAGGTTAAGTGATTTCTTATGGAATTTCATGTGTCTAGTAAGTATCTTCATTTAAAAACATTTACATATTTGGATTGAAAACAGTTTATTATTATTATTATTATTATTATTATAGGCATGAGCTTTTTTGAATAAAGGGTTGGAAAGGGCTTTTTTTATCCGATTAATCGAAAAAATAATCAACAGATTAATTGATCATTAAAATAATCATTAGTTGCAGCCCTAGACGTTAAACACGTAAACAACATGATGTCATCACTACAGTACCGTAATACACTGAAACATAATTATGAACCCCTCAGTGATAAATATTAATACAATTAGCAAGAGTGCCAGTTAGGGATGTAACTGTATCAGAATTTCATGGTACGATAATACCTTGGTATGAATGGCACGGTACGGTATTTATTGAATAATTTACAGGAAAAACAAAACTACTTAAAACTACTAAGACTCGAAAAAAGTGCCAAAAGTGTTTATTTACCTTAGCACTGAACATATCAATGACATACAAATTAGCCATCTATCTGTAAGTTTCGAAACAAGAACTTCAATTTTTCAATTTTAATAACAAAAAACTATTAAACCATATAAAAAACAAATAAAGTTTCAATTTAGTATTGTTGAAAACTCATCACATTCACCATTTAATCACTCACTCACTTAGATAGAGATGGGTTTTTTAAGAAAAATTATCATATAACTATAATCTGGTAAAAGCTGGGATCTCTGGGCATGTCCCCGGCAACAGAAGAAAAAAAAAAAAACCTCTCATTTGGGACTGAGGTTTCTGGGACAGAGAGATATGATTTAGCCAAGGTTGACAGCAGTGGGTAACGTTGTGCATTGTCTCTCCACCACTTGAGAGGACAAGCCATGAGTGAGATAGAGGTCTCTTTATGGTACAAGTCAATGTCTGCATCAATCTAACAAGTGTGCTGTGTTCTGCAGTCACCATGACTGTCTTTAGTCGTATTCCCCGACTTATATTTTACCATAGTCTGGCTGTGCCTGCATACTGTTTTTTTCTTTGTCTGTCACCTTTTCTCCTTTATCGTATCTTTTTAGAAAGAAACCGAATTTTTTCCACACATCCGATTTAAAACCCGCTTTAGGTTCGATCATTTCCAGCTCTTTTTCTTCCCCTCTACTAGCAACACACTCCATCTCCGCGTTACTGGATCTGTAGTAACAACAGACCGGAAAGAATGATGGCCACACCTAGGCTGATGGGAATTGTAGTTCCCGCTACCTCCCGTTCGCTTAATTTTCCTAAGCAAACTTTTCTCAGAAATATAGTTTTATTGAGTCATGCGCCTACGGTAATATTGAAAACAATTACTAATGCGGTATGACGGTATTTACAATATTGTTACATCCCTAGTGCCAGTACTTTAATACAAATAATACGCGGTTATCACAGGTAATCCATAATAGACATTGGAGAAAACTCGCACCAAAGGCACGATTGTGTCCGGATCCAATATTATCGCTTAGACAAGAGAAGAGGAAAGCCAGCGCAACAGGTCAAATGTACAAATCTATACAATTCTCTGTATAGTGAAATAGTGGCTCGTGTGCTGTGCAGCCTTCACTCACCCTCGCCTCCGTCCTAGTATTGCGACATCGCGCAGTGGAGATAAATGACTTTAGTACGTAATAACCTGTTCCAATATCGATCATTTTGACACCCCTAGTAACGAGTAACGATGCAGCACATAAAAAGTTTATCGAAGTATTAAACTTATTGAAAATATGTACTGAAGTAAAAGTGTAAGTAGGAGAAAAAAAATTAATACTTCAGTAAAGTACAGATACTGCCTTTTAGTAATTAAGTACAGTAGTGAAGTAGTTCTACTTCGTTACTATACATCTTTGGAAAGGTGCACGTTCCAGCGTTTATGCAGATGCTGTACAGATATATCTCATGTCTGAGAGGTAAATATTTAGCTGTTTGTTTGGCTGTTACCTCAGAACTTTTTTTTTCTGATGCGTTAACCAGTCAGGCACAGAATGAAAAAGTATTCCCTGTCATTTTGTTGTAATTATAAATATATACAAATAAAAATAGGCCATTAACAGTGTAACTACCCGCCGGTTATTAAACAGTCCACACTTCCAAATACTGATGTCCACCATGCGTTTCATTTATTGAACACCGTGAAAACTGCACAATCAACACAATCAAAAGGACATCAAAATAAACAAATAATATATAAAACAATGTTTAGTTTACCGTGTTGGCCTGATAACCAGCTGTAGAATAAGCAGGAGCATTAAACAGGTGCTTGCATTGAGATCTCACTATCCTGAGTGACCATGCAAACTCTTGCAGGTTAAATCAATCAATGAGAATCATGTGACTTTCCACTCAAGCCAACCGGAAACAAAGAAATTAGTAACAAACATATACCAATACACATTCAAATAATGAAATTCAAAACAATAAACAACATTACAAGCTGACCAATCAGCGTCAGCTACAAACAGCTTTCAAATCTGTGTCTTATTAATATGACCAAAAATACTTTTATGAGAAACTTGGAAAACTGGACTGACACGGTTTCAATTTACTATAACTTCTATGTTAAGTGTCTTTGACACAATTTACATTGTAAAAGCACTAGATAAATGAAGATGATTGGAATCTGCTTAAGTGTGTACACGTTAATGTACCAAACAAACTATGATCTGATTTATTTTACATTTATCATGCATCAAAATTACATTGTGTGTGTGTTTTGATGAGAGTTTTTAAGACTTAATGAAAACTAACCTTTATTTATTTATTTCAGACCTAATTGAAGAGAAGGAGGGGAGTAAAGAGGAGGAACATCATGTTAAAATTGAGGAAAAAACTCATTTACAGACTGATGGTATATTGAAAAGGAGAGACAAAAATAGTTTCACCTGCACTCAGTGTGGAAAGATTTTGGCAAGCAAAAGCAAACTTAAGATTCACATGAGCATCCACACAGGAGAGAAACCATTTACATGCACTCAGTGTGGGAAGAGTTTCAGCCTATCATCATCCCTTAATCTACACATGAGGATCCACACTGGAGAGAAACCATACACATGCACTCAGTGTGGGAAGAGTTTTAGCCACTTATCACCTCTTAATAAACACATGAGGATCCATACTGGAGAGAAACCATTCACATGCACTCAGTGTGGGAAGAGTTTTAGCTTATCAACATCCCTTAATCTACACATGAGGATCCACACAGGAGAGAAACCATTCACATGCACTCGGTGTGGGAAGAGTTTCAACTGCTCATCAAACCTTAGTAAACACATGATGATCCACACTGGAAAGAAACCATTCACGTGCACTCAGTGTGAGAAGAGTTTTAGGATATCATCATCCCTTAATCTACACATGAGGATTCACACTGGAGAGAAACCATTCACATGCACTCAGTGTGGGAACAGTTTCAGCCAATCATCATCTCTTAATAAGCACATGAGGATCCACACTGGAGAGAAACCATTCACATGCACTCAGTGTGTGAAGAGTTTCAGCCGATCAGAACACCTTAATCTACACATGAGGATCCATACTGGAGAGAAACCATTCACATGCACTGAGTGTGAGAAGAGTTTTACCTGCTCATCACACCTTAATCGACACATGAGGAAACACACTGGAGAGAAACCATACGCATGCACTCAGTGTGGGAAGATTTTCAGCCAATCATCACGCCTTAATCTACACATGGTAAGCCACAACGGAGAGAAACCATGACCTACGAAACTCTGACGGACTCTGACCTGCGAAATTGCATCACTTGACTGTGTGAGACCAATTGAAGATCAAAACATGACCTCTCTGGACCGAAATGTTAAAAAATGTACCAATCGCACACTGTTTTTATCATCTTGTTTGTTCCCGCTCCTTTTCGCAACGCCGTACAACAGAATTTTGCATGCTCTAACTCTAGTGTGACCGCAGCTTCGGTGTGGGATGAGTTTCAGTAACTCCTCAGACCTTAATAAACACATAAAGACCCACACTGGGGAGAAACCATTCACATGAACTCAGTGAAAGAAGAGTTTTAACCGATCAGCAAACCTTAATGAACACATGAAGATCCACACTGGTGTGAAAGAGTATATGTGCGTTGAGTGTTAGAAGACTTTTATTACAAAATTGAAACTGCACCAGACGTTTTACACTTGAGAGACTATACAAGTGTTCACACTGTGACGAAAGGTTTAATCAGTGAACACATCTGAATCACACAAAAGAGGATTCACGGCTGTATCAATGTTCCCAAACATTATTAATTTTATAATAATATATATTGCACATATTATGTTTAACATAAATATACTTGCAGAAGCTGGATTGAAACGTACCTTTTCTCCACAGCACATACAATAATATGACTTTTAAGAATATTTTATTTATGAAAATTCATTATATTTACATAATATATTGCACAGATTCCACCCTAACTGTCCACATCGGAAAAATTTGACAATGTAAAGACAGACAGAACTGCAAACTGATGTGCAAAGCTGACACTGTTTATCAGAGCACTTTATCTTTCTGGGCTTTTTAACGAAGAGTTAAACATGGGAATCTTCTTCTGCCCCAAAAGTAATATCATTCTTTCTTTTAAACTGTAATGGCCATCAGCAACAGAATGACTTCTTATTCTTATTTAACAGACAATGAAAACAGCAAAAATGTTTAGCATTTTACATGAAACCATTTCCTTTTAGAGTGTTCAAGTAAAAAAATGAAATAAAGAATAATAAATCCACTATTTCACTCCTATTATCCATGTGCACCACTGACAGGTCAAATCTGCTCCCTCTCTAGTCTTGGTGCTGCTGAGAGATTGAGATTCACCGGCCACTGTTTGCTTGTAATAATGTAGAAACGCAGCTAAAGAAAGCAGAATCCGGGACATGATAGGCGATTTAGAAATCCTGGCTGAATGCATTTTTAAGGCGCAAATAGAGGACGTGTCCGGGAAAAAGACAATGTATTTTCACCCTAAATAATGAGCTGGATCAGTCTATTTAGTAAAAGGCTTTTTTTTCTGCGTGTACTCTTCTCAAAGTTAAAGTCAGAGCAGGTGTCCAGCGTGTCTCTGTGGGTCTGCAGCAGCAGAGCCCGCGAGTCTGTGGCATAAACTTTTCTCACGCACACAGAACCGGGCCGCTGAGGTAGTCTTATGTGTGGGAAGCGCTGGTGTTGAATTAGGTACATTGGATGCACCAAGACATGCCATGACGGAATTAAGGCTCGCACGATGTGTGCTACGTCGCAATTCGGTCCCTTGTGTTGCTTAGCAGCATATACAAAACAATGTAAAGATCGCTTGGCGTGAAGTAAATAAACCAGTAACGTTAGACATGTATGGAACCAGATTAGTCTCCAAAGAAATTCACGCAAAAGACACGATGTACACATGTGTAGCCAAATTCACGTGCATAAAACCAAATTCACGTGCGTAAAATATTTATTTATATTCACAAAAAAATTTTACGGGCACAAAATAAAAATACATTTTCATAAAATACGTTTCACAAATGCAAAACACCATTTGCAAATGTATAAGACAAAAAGTTTTGAATGTTTAAAACTTGCGAGTTCATCCTGGATGAGAATGTGCAAATCCTCTTTCACGTACAACTCCCCCTGGATACGTGTGTGTGCATTTTTGAGACTTTCCTGCCAGAGTCAGGGTAACTCGTACCTTTCAGCCAATCAGATGAGAGCTGTATTCAATGAAACCAACTCTGCGCTTCATTTGTGCAGACTGTTTCTCTCCAGCATGGCGAACAGAGAAAGCAGCAGTCGCACTTTTTTTCATTTATTTATTTGTTTCACCATATCCTCACTCTTTTTGGTTATCATAAGTATCATTCCGGCCATATCAGTATTACAGAGCCATTGTGGTCCAGTGGTCAGCACGTTGTGTTACCATGTCCTTGGACCCGTGTTCGAACCTCACAGAAGTTGGTACTTTTTTCCTTCAATTTTATTGTTAATACATATAAAACTGTAAGGTTGTTGAACATTTGAAGTTCTAAAGCAGCTGTTTTCTTGAAAAAGACGTAATAGTTTCATCAGAAACTGAATGAAACTGAAAAAAAAGATATTTACTCAGGTGAGGATCTTTATTTTTTTTTCTGTTTCATTCAGTTTCTAATGACACTATCACGTCTTTTTCAAGAAAATAGCTGCTTTAGAACTTCAAATGTTCAACAACCTTACAGTTTTATATGTCTTAACAATAAAAATGAAAAAAACACAGGAACACAGGTCTAAGAGCATGGTAACCCAATGTGCTGACCACTGGACCACAAAGGCGCTGCAATAAGAAAAGCGGAGCTGCGTCAAAATAATGGATAAAAAGAGTGAGGATATGGTCAAATAAATAAATGAATGAAAAAAAGTGCGACTGCTGCTTTCTCCGTTCGCCATGCTGGAGAGGAACAGTCTGCGCAAAAGAAGCGCAGAGTTGGTTTCATTGAATACAGCTCTCATCTGATTGGCTGAAAGGTACGAGTTACCCTGACTCTGGCAGGAAAGTCTCAAAAATACACACACACACGTATCCAGGGGGAGTCATACGTGAAAGAGGATTTGCACATTCTCATCCAGGATGAACTTGCAAGTTTTAAACATTTAAAACTTTTTGTACACTTTTACATTTGCAAATGGTGTTTTGCATTTGTGAAACGTATTTTATAAAAAATGTAATTTTATTTTGTGCTCGTAAAATTTTTTTGTGAATATAAATATTTTATGCACGTGAATTTAGTTTTATGCACGTGAATTTGGCTACACGTGTACATCGTGTCTTTTGCGTGAATTTCTTTTGAGACTAATCTGGTTCCATAGACATGTGTTGTTGTTGATAGCGTCAGCGTGTGCTACCATCACAATAGATTTCTATTGACTTTGCTATCAAGCAGTATTGTGATCACGTGGGCTTTGCATGCTGGCTCTGGATGTTGCTAGATAAAATAGCTGTAACGGAGTTTAGAGTGTATCGGACTGCTTTTATCTGAGATTTTTAACGCAGTCCGATATAGTTTTTTGGACTGATATCGGACGAATTTCCAGATCGGGACATCTCTAATTGTGACCACAATTTTTGCTTGCATATTTTTCTGTAGTATTCAAAAGCAACTCTTATTATAAAGCACATGTTCATATATAATGAAAAGTTAAGATGTCTAAATGAGTTCAGAGCAGGTCTAACATGATTGGGTAGTTTGGCCATGTGACCATAAACATTTATTTCTTAGTACTGCCATCTGAATAGAAGGATAATGTCAGCTCAGAAATGACAGGTACATTTTCTAAGATAATTTTTAAATAGGCAATACATATTTTGCATGCATCATCATGAAAGGGTTATCTTTTCATACATATTAAAATTATATTATTATTTTTTTTTTTTTCTGTGGTCAAACTGCTGATAATTAAAAACCGTGGTGTAACACAGGGAATCTATGCCCCCCATAGGTCATTCCATATTTCATAATTTTTTTTTTAAATATATTGTGTGTAAATATATATATGTGTGTGTGTGTGTGTAGGTATGTATGTATATATATATATATATATATATATATATATATATATATATATATATATATATATATATATATATATATTACATGTGTGTGTGTGTATATATTTATGACTATTACTAACCAGTATTATTAAGTGGGCAAATAAAAACTGAAAGAGGAAATTTTTTTAGCCTAATATGAGTTTATGAATCTTAAAGCCACACTTTAAAAAAAACTCTTTACCACCGACTTTTTCAAAAATAAGATTTGGGATTATATACTACATCTAATTTTTATGTTTTTATTAATTAATTTATTTTTATTAAATTGTCTAAAAAATATGCAAACCAAGTAGGCTTTACATGCATAAACATGCAAGATGTAATACAATTACAACAATAGGCAGACACAAATATAGGGAAAAAAAACGCGTATAGTAATGACACTTGTATTTACCGTAAAAAAGTAAATAAATAAAAATTAAATTAATAAAAAAAACATAAATAAATAAATAAATAAAAAAGTTTATGCAAGATAAACATTTAAAGGGTTGTGAAGGGGCTAAAGGGTACATAATTTGCTGAAAAAAAGTAGCTGCTTTATATATATACATACACACATACACACACACAGTACTGTGCCCTGGTCAGTTGGCATTTCTGTGTGGAGTTTGCATGTTCTCCCAGTGTTCGCGTAGGTTTCCTCTGGGTTCTCCGGTTTTCCCCACAATCGAAAAAACATGCGGTACAGGTGAATTGGGTAAGCTAAATTGTCTACTATATGAAAGAAAAAGAGAAAGGGGGGGTTTTAATAGGTTTAGATCTGGAGAAGGCTTTTGACAGGGTAGAGCATGATTTTTTATTTGCAATTCTTAAGGAGTTTGGATTTGGGGAAAATTTTAGAAAATGGATTAAAAAATTTTATACAGATATTTTAACTTGTATTAAATGTAATTTTTTTTAAACAGAATGTCTTCAACCAACTAGATCAATAAGGCAAGGATGTCCATTGTCTGCTTTATTATACACACTGGTAGCTGAGCCACTGGGATTGGCAATAAAATCAGATAGAAGCATTAAAGGGATACAAATAGAAAACAATGACAACAGAGAAGCTGTGTATCAATACGCTGATGATACTACATCGTTGGGGATTTTAGAGTGATATTGTAAAGCATCAGGAGCTAAGGTTAATGTTGGAAAAAGTTTATGCATGAGGGTGGGAAGAGTAAAAGAAATAACACAACATATACCCTTTAAAGAAGAAAAGGAACACAAACATTTTGGGAATTTGGGTGGGGATGGATTCTAATAAAGCAGATATTTTAAATTGGGAGAGAGTTTTAAATGGAATTGAGAAAAGACAGAGATTTTGGAAAGCTAGAATTTGACGATAAAAGGGAAAGTATTCATCTTAAATGCTTTAATGTTGTCAAAGGTCTGGCATGTGTTAGGTGTAACTGCGTTGCCTGAAGTATACTATAAAAAAATTGATGTAGTTTTTGTGGGGAAATAGAAGAGCCAAGATTGCTTATTATACTTTGATTGGGGAGGTAAAAGAAGGGGGTCTGGGACTTTTGGATAGTTTTTTAAAAATGAAAGCATTAACAATTAAGATTATTCAAAGGTTTTTGGAAGGGAAAATGGGTGTGATTTGGAAAAGTGTGTTGGATTATTATTTGAAGAAATGTGGACATTTTAATATGGGATGTAATGTTTTATGGATGAAGATGAAGAAACGGATGATAGCAGGTCTGCCAAAATTTTATGTTGAGGTCTTAGAATCATGAGGGGGATTTTTAGAAAATTTGTTGATTATACCAAAAGCAAGGGCGCAGATTCTAGAACAACCACTTTTACTGAATTCAACAATTTTAAGTGAAGGAAATGTTTTATATTTTAAGGAATGGTGGGACGGAGGATTAAGACAAGTTAAAGATGTATTATACGAAGTAATAAAAGGATTTGTACCATTAAAAGTAATTGTGGAGGATGGGTATAAAAGAGTTGTTAAAGCAAAATTACAAAGACAATGTCATGAGTTGAAAAAAGCAATACCAAATAACTGCATTGAAATAATTGAAAAAAAAAAGTTGGGCGATGAAGATGAATTACCAGAGACCTATTTTAAGAAGAAAAATGGAGAGATCAATGAGCTTATGTACAGTTAAGAGTTTTTACGCTAATTTTAGATAAAAGGCTTTTGTAAGACCTATAGCACTCAACTAATTAACAAAATT